CTCTTCTTGCTTTTAATGTTTCTGTTGAGAAGTCTGCTGTGATTTTGATGGGTTTACCTTTGTATGTTACTTGTTTTTTCTCTCTTACAGCCTTCAATATTCTTTCCTTAGTTTCTGAACTTGTTGTTTTAATGATGATATGTCGTGGGGTAGTTCTATTTTGATGTGTTCTGTTTGGTGTCCTGGAGGCCTCTTGCATCTGTATGGGAATATCTTTCTCTAGATTTAGGAAATTTTCCGTTATTATTTTGCTGAATAGATTACACATTCCCTTCGCTTGCACCTCTTCTCCTTCTTCGATGCCCATGATTCTCAAGTTTGGTCTTTTGATGGAGTCGGTGAGTTCTTGCATTTTCTTTTCACAGGTCTTGAGTTGTTTAATTAATAGTTCTTCAGTTTTTCCTTTAATTACCATTTCATCTTCAAGTTCTGAGATTCTGTCTTCTGTTTGTTCTATTCTGCTGGATTGGCCTTCTGTTTTGTTTTGCAGTTCTGTTTCGTTCTTTTTTCTGAGGTTTTCCATATCCTGGGTGGTTTCCTCTTTAATGTTGTCTATTTTTGTCCTGAGTTCATTTATCTGTTTATTCATCGTGTTCTCTTTTTCACTTTGTTCTTTATACAGTGCTTCTATGGTTTCCTTTATTTCTTCTTTTGCTTTTTCAAATTCTCTATTTTTGTTGTCTTGGAATTTCTTGAGTGTCTCCTGTACATTTTGGTTGACCCTATCCAGTATCATCTCTATAAAATTCTCATTGAGTACCTGTAGTATGTCTTCTTTTAAATTATTCTTGTGGGCTTCATTGGTTCTTTGGCATAGTTTATCTTCATTTTGTTGGAGTCTGGATCTGAGTATCTGTTTTCTTCATTCCCTCTGGTTCCTGTACTAATTTTTTGCTGTGGGGAAACTGGTTTCCCTTTTTTTCTGTCTTCCCATCATTGTCCTTGGTGTTGTTACTGTCCCTGTACTGTGTGCAATTAAGTATTTTCTAGCTTGTAATAATAACAATGGTAATATTTAGAATGGAAGGGTGAGAGGAGATGGAAAGCAAGAAGTTAAAGAAAAGGGAAAAACAAACAGACAAGTAGGAAAAAACAAAACAAGGAATCAAACAAGAAAGTTTCAAAGTATAAACAGGGAGCGTTAGTGTACTAATCGACAGTAAGCTGAACAGGCCTTAGAGAGACAGAGAGAGGATTGAAAATAAAAAATAAAAAGAATAAAGATAAGAATAAAAAAATAAGTAAATGAAAGTAATATATATATATGTATATATATATATATATATATATATAATATATATATATATATATATAAAATAAACAAAATGAAAAAAAAACCTCCAAGTTCAAATGCAATGAAGTTTCAGTCTTAATAGTTTTGGTGTCCATCTCAGTCTCCATTGCTGGAGATGGTGCCTCAGATGTTGTTCTGTAATTGTCTCATCAAAGGGAACACATAAAGTAGAACAAAACTGCACCAAAAAACCCACAAAAAAACCAAAAAAAACCCACAAAGTGTCCCAAGTTTAAATGCAATACAGTTTCAGTAAGTTTTTCAGCATGCGGGTGTAGTTCGGTTGTTTTCTCATCAAAGGTAGGGAGAGAGAAAAAAAAAAAAAGAGGAGACAGATCTGTGAATGGTATCTGTGGCTGTGGCTTGCCTGCCCCTTGCTGTCAGCCTGCTGTTGCTGGAGGCGTTATTTATGCAGATCTCAGGGGTGAGTTTAGCACTAGCTTGGCCCTGCAGGCTTTGTTTACTCAGAGTTCTCCTATGCTTGAGCCTCTGCTACAAGCTTTCCCCTTTCCAAGCACACTGGGGGAGGTGATACTGCACCCGCTTTCTCAGGCCTGCGTGTTTGTTTACAGCTCACATGGGAAGTGGGTCTTCCCCTCTCTCCTGTGGAGTTTTCCTCCCACCACCACTTTTACAAGCTTTCCCGCTTGTGATTACTGGGTGGTGCTGCTGCTCCTGCCAGCTGCCATGTTTGTTTTCAGCTCACGTGGGAAGTGGGTCTTCCCTCCTCTCCTGTGGAGTTTTCCTCCCTCGCCACTCACACAAGCTTTCCTGCTCCTGGTTGTTGGGCGTGTGCCCCCGTTCCTGCGTAGCCTCTCTGGCCTGTCCGTCTTGTTTATTTACAGTTCCGGGAAGGATTTTCTTCCCCCAATCTTCGGTGTTCAGTGCGCCCCACCCTCTTTCCCGTGTGTCTTTGTTGTTCTTATTGCTTATTTCTCAGTTTCTTTTTTTTCCCCGGGTGGAGGTCAGTCTGTCCAGGGGGCTATGCTGATCTGGCCCAGGCTTGTCTGTGGGAGTACCGCGGTACTTGCTAAGCTCACCTTGTCCGCATCTTCCCAAGCCGTCTGGGCATGGGTGACTGGCAGCCCAGGGGCCCTCCTGATTTCTCCATTTAACGTGAAGTGGAGATGCTCTGCGCCGGTTGGAGGTGTGGAGGGGGTCAAAGTTTTGCCTCTTCTCGGTGGTTTTACCTGCAAGGTGTGTCTCCAGTGTCTCTCGATGATTTTACTATAGGAGGCATGCTTTCTGCTTCCTCCCTGTAGCTGCCATCTTGGAATCCTCTGTTTGTTTTTTTTTTTTTTAGATGATAGCCATTCTTACTAGGGTGAAATGGAATCTCAAAGTAGTTTTGATTTGCATTTCCCTGATTGCTAACGATGTTGAGCACTTTTTTTTTTAATTGTTGTACTGGGGGTACATTGTGACATTTACAAAACTTCTTAAAATATATCATACAACCCTTCTGAGAACTGTCTGTTCTACTTATTTACCTATTTATTGATTGCATTATTTGGGTTTTGGTGTTTGATTTTTTTAATGCTTTATATATTCATCCCATCTGATGTATAACTGGCAAAGATTTTCTCTAATTCTGTAGGCTGTCTTGACTCTGGTCATTGTTTCCTTTGATGTGCAGAAGCTTGTTAATTTAATGCAATATTATTTGTCAATTCTTGCTCTTATTTCCTGACCAGTTAGAGCTCTATTTTGAAAGTCATTGCCTATACCTATATCTTGACATGTTCTGCCAATATTTTCCTCTAGTGGTATCAAAATTTCAGATCTTACTTTAAGGTCTGTGATACATTTTGAGTTGATTTTTGTACACTGATATATAGGGATCTAGTTTCAGTCTTCTACATGTGAATATCCATTTTTCCCAGTTTAAAAGGAGGCTGTCCTTTCTTCAGCATGTGCTTTTTGGCAGCTTTATCAAGAATCAGATGGCTATAGCTATGCAAGTTTATTAGTGGATCATCTATTCTATTCCACTGATCAACATGTTGAATTTTGTACCACTACCATGCTATTTTTGTTACTAAGGCTCTGTAATATAATTTGAAATCAGATGTTGTGATACCTCCTGCATTGTTCTTTTTTTCTCAGAATCACTTTGGCTATTCAGTATCTTTTGTACTTCTATATGAATTTTAGGATTGATATTACTATATCTGTGAAGAATCTCATTGGAATTTTGATGAGGATTGCATTGAATCTGTATAGCCATTTTCATAATATTAATATTATATTAATATTAATTCTGTCAATCCATGAATATGGGAGTGTCTTCTTCAGTTTCTTTTTTAATAGTTTCATAGTTTTCTTAATAGAGGTCTTTCACTTCCTTGTTTAGGCTTGTTTCTAGATATTTGAGGCTATTGTGAATGGGATTGTTTTCCTGATTTCTTTCTCAGCATGTTCATTATTGTTGTATAGAAATGCTACTAATTTTTGTATGTTGATTTTGTGTTCAGCAGACACTTTGCTAAAAGTGTGTATCAGATCTAAGAGTTTTATGGTGAAGCCTTTAGGGTCTTTTAAGTATAAGATCATATCTTCTGCAAATAGGAATAATTTGACTTCTTCCTTTCCTAAGTATCCCTTTTATTTCTTTTCTTGCCTTCTTGCTCTGACTAAGATTTCAAGCACTATATATAGAATAAGAGTAGAGAGAGTTGAATCCTTGTCTCATTCCTGATTGTAGAGGAAATGCTTTCAGTTTTTCCCCATACAGTGTAATGTTGACTTTAGGTTTGCTTTATAAACCCTTTATTATGTTAAAGTGTGATTCTTCTCTTTTTCAGTTTCTTCCAGTCTTGCATCATGAAGGATGTTGAATTTTATCAAAGGTTTTTTCTGCATCTATTGAAATGATCATGTGATATTTGTCCTTGATTATATTTATATGCTGTATTGCATATACTAATTTGGACACTTGAAACATTTTTGCTTTCCTGGAATGAAACCAACTTGTTCATGTTGTATGATTTTTTTAATATGGCATTGAAATTCGATTCCCAAGTTTCTATTGAAAATATTTACATCTGTGTTCATTAAGGAAATTAGTCTATAGGGTTTTTTTGCATTCTTTACTGTTCTCCCTGCTTTCCTGATTCTGTGTTGCTACCATTCCCACTCCAGATGTTGATCTCTCACCTGACTTACCATACCTGAGGCTCACCATTTTTTGTCTCTCATCATTACATTAATTTGAGAGATGGTGACTCAGATGGGCCACAGAATTCCATGCCTTGATTCCCTTGGCTTTTCCAATGTACTGTGGGGGCAGGGTAGCAGCAAGGTCTTGGGTCTATTACCTACTTAGTAAAGGCCATGAATTGATTCTCTTGGGCAGTCACAGCAACTGTTGGCACCTTTAATATATACACTTGTGAGTTTGAAGGAGCCAAACATTGTTGATTATTAAAATGTTTTTATTAGTCATCAGGGTCCTGCAGGATTGACTGATTTTTCCTTGTTTTTTTTTACATAGGATCTAGAGTTATTCCACCAAAATTAATTTTGCATACTATCATAGAAATTTTTATAGTAACTTAGAAATTGCTTTTCTAACATGTAATCTATTCTTTTTCCTGGTAATTTCTTTTGACATGTGAAGCAGTATGTAAAATCAGAAACAATATTACTGTAGTAACTACTATGTTATGGGGTCATTTAAAATATGTTAATCCCTTTTGTCTTACAGGACAAATTATTCGAGAGAAAAGGTTTGTAGAAGCTGCAAATAAAAAAGAAATTGACTATGAAGTAGGGAACATCCCAACAGAATGGGAAGGTAAGTTTTCACTTTCAGTAGAATTTTTTTGGAGGCAAATTGTTTAATGATATACAAAACTAATAAGAGCACATATAATTACCTAATTCTCTTTACAAAATCTTTTACAAATTAAACCCATCAAACTTTGTTTTTAAACATTGCATCTCTTTGAAATTTATGAATGTGACAGTTTTTATTAAGGGAGCATATACATAGCAAAGAAACAAGCAAACCTGAAGCATTAGCAGAGCTAGGGGAAAGGTGAAGTAAGCAAAGGAAGCTCCTAAGGTGCAAAATTTAAAGGGGCACCCACTCTCATGTACTGATTATAAATTTGGGCAGCCCAGGATTGGAGCCCCATTTCTGGCACCCACTACCCCCATGAACTTGTGAAAGTAACTTAGGTCTTAGTTTTCTGTTTTATAAATATTAGAGAATACTTCTGTACATACCCTTTGGGATATTTGTTCCACCCACAATTCCCTGTTAGCTCACCTCCACTTTAGACAAGAATGGACAGTTGATTCTTATCTTAAGACTTTGAAATTAAGGTAAAAGATCAAAGGAGATAAAACAGCATCAATTAGTCTCTCTTTGTGGTTGGAACATTACCATATGAACTTAGTAGTTTGAAGTAGTTGTCTTCAATATACCATCAAAGTTTTTTGTTGCAAAAAAGCCTGATATACAGAGGAGAAGAAATGAAACCAGTTTACAAAAAGAAGTACATAGAGGGGCAGAATATTTCCTAGGTTTGCAGTAACTGTCCAGTTCCCAGTTCAATTTCTTTCTCAGTGCAGTTCAGTTGCAAGTCTGAATTCTAAGTGGAACCTTATATCATTATAAAGTTTCCTTTTTTGCTTACCAGTTCCTAGCATTGCGTCTGGCACGTAGAAAGACACATAAGAAATGCTCAATAAATAATTTATTGAATATATGAAATCTAGCTTGATTTAACTTTTGTTATTTGCAACCAAAAGAATCTTGACTAAACACACATACCTATCTCTTCTATCACATAACACTTACCCAGTGTTGGCCTTTATGCCTGTAATTATGCCATTGCTCTACAGTCATTATTGTGTTTGATCACAATGATCCTATAAAGTTGACACTATAATTACACCTATTTAATAGATAGAAGATCTAAGGTCCAGAAGGTCAGATAAATTGCGTGGGTTATACAGCTATATACATGAAGACTCGTTGCATCTTGGTGGGCATAACATGATAGATTAAATGCAGTAGTTATAAGCATTATGTTACGTTTATGCCAGCATGTGGATATAAATATCATTTCAGTAAAAATATCTTTTCCTTTTTTGCTTATTAGCTATGAAAGTACTAGAACTATGAGAAAAGAGCATAATTATGGATAGATAACAGAATTTTTTTCTAAGAAATTCAGACTATAAATTGGCAACTTCTAGAAGGAATAATTGAGCTTTCTTATTTTAACAGACTTTCCAATATTATAAGCTACATTTGCAATTCTCAAATAATGCTTAAGCCTTCTTACAATGAACCTATTTTGTAATTTTTCCCAATAATAGTATAGAAGTAAAATGTTTACAGAAATAAATTAAGTTATAAATACGCAAATAGGTGATGACTTATTTTCAGCCTCTGAGACTTTCAGAGAATTAGAATGGCGTTTTAATGCTTTTTATGACTCTTTCCTGATCTAATAATTCAGCATAACTATCCCATGGGCATAGTCTTAAAACAAATATATCAACCAAACACTAAAATAAAAATTATTTTTATAGTGTTATGCATCAATTAAACATAAAAAATAAGAATCCTACACCATGAAAAAATAAATTAAAATATAAATAAACACACAATACTATATACAGGGAAGGAGAAAGCAAAAGCTTTTAAAGTAAATGATGTCAACACCAAATGAATCAAAAGTATTTTCAGATCCAGATAATAATTTCTCAATTATTAGTAGCAGCATGCAGTTACCTACAAGTTACATATTCTCCAATAACATGGATTTAATAGTGTGCCTTTTCATTCACTTTTTTAGTAAGTGTTTTTTGAGGACTTCTATATTCATGGAACATATATTCTGAGGGGGAAGAAATACAAACCAGATAACTAATTAAACTATATAATATGCTAATTGCCACAGAAAATAATGCAGAGAAAGGGCATGGGGAGTATTTGGGTGGGTTATGTAGTTTTCTTTTTTTATTATATTGTTATTATACTAGGGGTACATTTTGACATTTATAAAAGTTCACACAATATATCACAGTTGAATTCACCCCTCCTTCATTCTCCTTTATCCCCTCTTCTCCCATTCCTGGAATAGTTTCAATGGGTCTCATTTTTCTATTTTCATACATGAGTACATAATATTTCTACTACATTCACCATCCTACACCCATTCCTTATATCCTATCCCCTTCCCACCAATACTAACCCCCCAGACAGGACCTGTTTGGGAAAAGGCCTTACTGAGAAAATAACTTTCGAATAAAAACTGGAGAAACAGCTGGCCATGAAGATAACCATCAGAGGACCATTCCTGAAGCAAATCAAACATGCTCAGGTGGTAAAGGATTAGCAAAGAAACCAAGGTGAAAGGGATAGAGCCAGAGAGAAAGTGACAGGAGGTAAGTTTAGAGAGTAAGTTCAAAGGCTGAACTCTATGCTCTTCCACACTTTGAAACAATGGAAACAAAAAAGGAGCAACTAGAAAAGTAAGAGAAAAAAGTGTCACATACTGAAAGCCTGTTATCAAAAAGGAAGACCTGATCAAGTCAGATAAGGACTGAAAATTAGCTACGTGCTTTTAAGACCAGAGAGGTCATTAGTAACCCTAATAAAAATAATTCTGTAGAGTGATAGGAGCAAAAGCCTGAAAACAGAATAGCAAGAGAGAATTTGGAGACAATGAGTATAGACAATGTTTATGAGAGGTTTATCTGTCAAAAGAATAGGAGTAATAAAACAGTACTTACAGTGGAAAGTGGAGTCAAGGGAGAATTTTTGTTTTATTTATTTAGTTTTTTTCTTTCTTTCTTTCTTTTTTTTTCTTTTTTGAGACAGTGTCTCGCTAAGTAGCCCAGGCTGGGCTTGAACATACAGTGTAACCCAAACAGGACTCTAACTTGCATTCCTCCTACTCTGCTTCCTGAGTGTTGGAATTACAACATGCCCAGCTTTCCATTTTGTTTTAAAGACAATAGAAGTGACAAAATTTTCTAATAGTAATGGGAAATATCCTACCCAAACAGAAGCATCCATGGCACAGGAAAACAAAAGTTCTTCAGAAGGCAGGATGGGCAGGATCCTAGCACACCTAGGTGAAAGAATTGAGCTTTGACAAAAACATGGAAATTTCATCAGTAGTAACAGCAGAAAATTAGAGTATAACTGCAGGTAGATGTGGTGGTGAGAACGTATGTAAATTCCCCTCTGATTCCTCCTAAGGAGGCAGAGCAGTTTAAAAAAAACTTCCTAAGTACGAACAGCAGCTAGAGCCAAAAGTTGAACCCAAAGTACCTGTCTCCAAAGTCTACTTTCTTTCTTTGCAGTGCTGGAGATTAAACTCATGCCTTGCACATGCTAGGCAAGTGTTGCACCATTGAGCTACAATCCCAATATTTTATTTTATATTATGTTATACAATTATATTACCGACCTCCCAATAACTTGGCTAACTCCTACTTATCCTTAAGTTTTAAAGTAGACATTGATTCTCTTTAGAAATATTTCCTGACCTCACCCTCAATCCCTTGCTGGAAGGGATGTTCATTTTTGTTGTTTCCATTCACTTTGTGCCTCCCCTAGTCATAATACACTGCAGAGGATTTCCTGTTTACGTTTCTGTCTCCCCGCCCTGGTCTTGAAGATGCTTTAAGGTAGAGTCCTTACCTTGCTCCTCATTGTATTTTCAGGGTCTAGCTCAATACTTTACATAAAGTACAAGCTCAATCAATGTTTGTTGAGTAGATGCATTTAAAATTGAAAGTAGACAAGGAAGAGATGTTTTAGGGACTTTGCTGATCTGCTGAAGGTAGTATCTTAAGAAGAAAAAGACAGAACAGAAGACCAAAGTATTTGTTTTCAAAACTACACAACATTCTTGAACATATCTGCGGAATTTACCCATGGCATCATATATAGTTCCTATATGGAACCTCTGAAAAATCTCTGTCTCTCTAATTCAAATGACATTTTGTCTTCCATTTTTTTTTTCCTTCTTGGTTTTGGCAAATTTAAGCTTCTTTGGTGTTGGCAACAATAAACATAGAGGAGAACCCAAAAATACATACAAAGTAGTATTATAGTCAGAAGAAAGAAAGCAGCCCTAATCCAGGATTTTTCTTAGTGGAAAATTAGGTTTGTAGAATGTGTGTTAACACATTCTCATTAAAATGTAAGAATAAATTCTCAGAATAAAGGTACATAAAACTACTTTTTAGCTATATTAGACCATACCCTTTTATCAGTAACAGTGCTAATTAATAATTCATATCTTATTATTAAGTATCACGTCCACCTTTATTGATTTAATATTCGTCAGTCTTAATAATTGTTTAACGCATCTTTTGTTAGGTCACCAGAGCTCCCCGCCCGGAGTTTTCAGTTTCATAAAATAATGGTCAGGCCATGATGCTATTCCTGTGCCAACATCAGAAAAACCTAGGTTATGTTCAGATCTTGCAGTGGCCATTTGCTCCCTTGCTCATTGAGCAAACTGATTTACTTCCTTGTTTTTCATCTACCAAATTTAAAAGCTCTGTTCAGTATTCTTTAAAGGTATATCTATCTCTGATGATTCTAGAAGTATCTGTTCTAGAAGTATCTTTAATCAACTCATATCCCATCCCACACTTAACTTATTACTTAACCAAATTACTTGGCTGAGAATTACTGAAAACTATTGGTGATCTTAATCCAATAATAAATACCATATATTGGTTATTTGTTGCTGCACAAAAACACTGCTTCAAAACTTAGAGGCCTACACAACAAAGATTTACTCTGTGGGTCAGGAG